ACACAATCTATCCTTGGGGGGGGGGGTTCTTCATATAAGGGGGGAAATGTGAACTGGGCATGTTTTTGTGAGATTAACTTCAGTCAGGTGATACCAATTTTAACAATGTTAACTTGAGCTAACATTTTAGCCTTATTCTGCTTCTTTCACATTAGCCTGTAGAGAGAGAGTGTGTGTGTGTGTGTAGGAGAGAAAGACTGAGCCAGAGCCAGTGAGTAATGAGATTTCATAGGTCTCTTGAGATGTTCACTCGGCGATGGCACCACTCGATTGACAGCTTGAGTTAAATCTCATTCCCCCCACCCTTACAAGTTTTATTTTTACCTCCCCTCCGTCTGAGAGCAGAAATAAGAAAATCAGCTCTCCGAATGGAACACCAAAGAACGCTCCGGGTGGATGTGAGGCGCTCCACCTCCAAGAAACTCTCAAATGTTCTCTCTCACACACACACACACACACACACGCACACACACACACTCACGTTCTAGAGGGTCTGTGATCTTTCATCTTTTTTTGTCAGACTGTGGTTTGCAGTTCAGAGAGAGCACAATAAAAGCGGCAGAGTGATTTATCAAGAGTGAATCAGCACCTGTAAGGTAGAGACAAGAGACAGAGATGTAGAATAATTGCCTTGAAGCACTCGTCTCAATCTCTCGTCCTCTTGTGGCTCCATATGGCTGCCCTGCGTTAGCTGCCGTTGCCTGAGGAACGGCTTTGATATTAATACATGTAATGGTGTTTCTGAATGTTCTTACGGAACACCATTCACAAAGTCTGTCTTCTGTAATGTGTTAATTTTATTATCTTCTGCTCAGGCTACTGTGATGATTTCAATTTTGTCTTGAGAAGACTTTGAATATAGCGAGGGTTTGTGTCGATTTGTTATGGAACATCTTTGGTTGAGTCTCATGCCCAGGTCAGATTTCGTCCCAGATTAAGAAGAAAGAAGAATGCATTGCTTTGCTTAAAAATATAACTGTTTTGAATCATGTCAAAAAATTAAGTTTATTAAACACATTTGCTTAGCCCACTTTGTATTACCATAATGAAAAAAAAATGCATTATTGAATTACAAAAAAATATTTAAATTAAGTATTTTGTTTTGTTCTGTCTTCAATTTATGCAAATATTACAATAAATTATTGTATTATAGTAATTGGAATCGAATTAGAATCACCATTGAGAATAACATTGGTATATTATTTTAATTGTAAATTATCTGTATTATGCAGATTCGTAAAAAAAAAAAAAGCATTTGTACAATGAAGTGTTGTATTATAAAAATGAGAAATTAATGAGAATCACCACTGACAAAAATGGAAATTACAAAATAAAAATAGAATTAGTAATTATATTATTAAAATATATTATTAAAAAAGTAATAGTAATTATAAAAATGCTATAAATAATATTTAAAAAAATGGTGGAGAATGTGCTCAATTCTCATAAAAATAATGTCACAGTGCTAAAAAAAAATATCTTAATGACTATGTTGTCTTTGTCTTTATCAATGAAGTGTTGTATTATAAAAATGAGAAATTAATGAGAATCACCACTGACAAAAATGGAAATTACAAAATAAAAATAGACAAGTAATTATAAAAATGCTATAAATAATATTTAAAAAAATGGTGGAGAATGTGCTCAATTCTCATAAAAATAATGTCACAGTGCTAAAAAAAAATATCTTAATGACTATGTTGTCTTTGTCTTTATGCATATATATTTTTATTTTTTTGGAATAAAATGTAAGCTAGACATCAGATTAACCCTTTTGGACCTCTTTTTATAATAGAGATTTTTGTATTCAACATTTTAACTGTTTTCGAGGAACATGATGCTGAGTAAATCATGAGAAAATGTTACATTTCGATTGAGTAACCCTTTCAAGAACTAACACATTAATTGCTATGCACACACTCCCTTCTCTCATTATATTCTGACCCCCAGGACTTTAGTTAAACGGGCATCGCAGGACAGCCCCATGATGTTTAGGTCTGTTTGCTTTCGTCGGGGAAAGAGACCGAACGTGTGAGAGATAAGCAGAAATGCGCAGGTCTGTAGGGTGCAGTGAGGGCTGTGGGGTGGGAGATCTCGCTCGCTCTCTCAGACAGATGATGAAATAGTTTTATAAAGCAGGAAATCGCTTTCCTGGGAAATAAAATCAGCAGCACAGCACAGAACTCTCATTTCACCAAGAACTCCCGTCGCTCCAGCGGTTGTGTGTGTGTTTGTGTGCCATTATCGGTTTATGCAGTACCACTGCATAAGATCATTGCTCTTCTAGATATTTAACTTTCTTTCTCTCTCTCCCTCTTCCACTTTCCTCCTCTCTCTTTCAATCTGTCCACACAGGGATGCTCCTCCCCCATGGTGGTGAAGTTTGCCGACACACAGAAGGATAAGGAACAGCGGCGGCTGCAGCAGCAGTTGGCGCAGCAGATGCAGCAGTTGAACAGTGCGTCTGCCTGGGGCAGCCTGACCGGCCTGACTGGCCTCACCCCGCAGTATCTGGCAGTAAGAGGACACACCCACGCAGCCACGCCCACCAGCAGCACAGCCAGCGCAGCCGCCGCAGTCAGTCACTGTCTCCGCCCACCTGCCCCGCCCCCTCCTCTCTTGCTCTCTCTGAGCCAGTCTTAACCCCTTTTCCAAATCTCTCATCTGTTAAACTGCGATCGCGCCTTGATCGAAGTTCGCCTCGAAACCGGTCCCCATACTCAAAATTTTTATGTGGTAGTGCTGCTATTGAGAAGCTGTTAGGGCAGTGGTTCTCAACCAGGGGACCAGGGCCCACTAGGGGGCCAGATCAAACTTGCGATAGGTTTAAGACTTAAAATGAGACAAAACAAGCACTAATACACCTGAAAATCAAGATATTTCTTATTTTAATTCACCCTGTAAAACAGTTTTTTGCTTCATAAAAGAACCAGGTTTCCCACTGTCTAGAAAAAACAGGATATACAGTACAGTTTAAAAGTGTGATTTATAAACCTGGAAATTCATGTATATAAAATATAAAAATCTTTAAACTCTATTGCCATACATATACAAGTTCTAGTTATGCCAAGCTCTAAAATATGTATATTTTGTAGAAATTATGAAAACATATTTTTAATTATCCTTATCCTTAATCCTTTTCCAGTAAATCACAAACAGGAAATGTCGCGGAGCCTTCGAATGTAGTTGTGGACAATAAAGGGGGCCTTATAGAGTCAGAAAGGCTGAGAACCACTGCATTAGGGAATACAATCGCTCCAGCTTTCTTTGTACTTTCAAGAAGGCAGACGGAGAGGGAACCGTTTTTAAACAGCCTTGGTTTCGAAAGTATTTTTTCCCATTGGTTTTCTTCATTGGCATTTTTAAAATCTATAGTAAAAAGCCTAATAAAGCCATGATCCCAAACCAACCAGCGCTGAGATCAGTCACCACAATTCAACATTTTATCCCATGGCATGGTGCATTGCAAAGAATGTAGGTCTAATCAAGTGAAAATTTAATTATGTTTTTAAAATAAATATAGAAATTATATAAACAATACCTATAGAATTAATATAGAAACATATATATTCTTTAACAATCATGGTAGGTCTTTCTTAAAAGGTTTATGCAATTTTATTAAATATCTTTCTTTCTATAGAAAAAAATGAAAGAGGTTTTTACTTGCAGAACCCAGCTTGGGTTCTGTTGTGTAATTGGATTGGGATGAGGACAATGCATAAATTCCCTGTTTCACTCATGCTCGTCTTCATCCTCCTAAATATAAAGAGGATACAACATGGTGGTGACATTTACTCGCGTTTTAGTCCATAAGGACAGTGGGTGAGGATTAAAGGACTATGCAAGAGCATTGGGACAGGGCCATCTCTCCCACCATTCTGCTTTTCCTTTTTCTGCCTTTTTCCACTTCCCTGTCATTTTAAGGTTACGTTTAGCTTTTAAGCAGTCTGAGGGGTCTAGTTCAATGTCATCCTAATCCTCTAGAGCCATTTAGAGTCTGCTTTCCTCTTCCCTTTCATGTGCAGAAACTGCACAGGACAGCAACACACTGCCAACAGAACTGACGGGTGACTCTTAGCATGACAGTTTTCACTGGCACCAATGTATGATGCTAATACCTTGAAGTGGTCCTCAAGTCTTTTATGATTTTGTTCCTCTGAATATTTTTACATGGTTTTCACTCTCAGAACTGTTTTATGTTAATCGCAAATTATTGTGTTTAGAGACCACAGAGTCCACAGTTAGCATTATTTTATGTATATGGAATATATTAATTTTGCCTTATAACCTTTCTAACACAGTATTTTAACCAGCCTCGCTGTGTTAAAGCTTTCAACAATAAATAAAACAAATTAAACCTTAAACTGAGTTTTGTCCTAGCCAGCTGCATCACAATAATGTGTGATGCCTCACACTATTTTGTTGGTAACTTTTTGTTGTGCTGCACTATAAAGTGCTCTTAGCATTAGACAGCACACATGTTGTGTATTAGAGATCAAATATATTTTAATTGGCTATGATTTTGTTGGTATGAATGCATTTATTACACTTAAATATTTAGTTTAATACAAAACTAGAGTGGGCCCAATCCTAATACTTGAGGAACACCAGTAGCTAAAAAACACACCCTAACAGACAGAGGCTTTTGTGTTGCTTCACTGTTGACAGACTGCTCTATAGTGTCACTCCAGACAGCATGGAACATGGAAACAAACCACAATGTTTCATCTATATTTAGCATTTAACACTAGCTCCTTCAAACATTATCCTTATATATCCATCGCCATAAGCCAATACATAATAATGATTACACATTAATGGTCTGTTTTTGTCTCTCTTTCTCCCAGTTGCTCCAACAAGCGACCTCCTCCAGTAACCTAGGAGCGTTCAGTGGTATTCAACAAATGGCAGGTGAGATACTGAACTCAGATCTGTGTTAACGCAACTAGCCCCATTGTAAATCCTCAACTAAACTTCCATCCCCACTACTAAACCATTCAACCCTGCTATGAATTGCATAAAAAAAAAAGTTTGACACCTCAACCCTGAGCAGATCCAGGATCAGCAGAGGTTTGGCTGAGAACATTCTCGTCCTGCCTCAGTTTAGATTCAACATGCTGCAGAGTTCTTGACAATGTGTAGCACACCTGGACGCTTTGTAATGTTTGTAAAAAGTGTTTGTATGTGTGTGTGTGTGTGTGTGTGTCAGAATTTGATGATGAACTGAGACTTGATCACAAAAAAGCCATTCTTTCCATGCCTGTTCTGATTTGCATCAAAACCTTTTTTTGTTTCTTGGAAGAGGAGTTTGTCTCATCATTCAATCATATCTCCTTACCTGAGCTCTGTGAGGCTTATGGTAGACCAAATCATGATGATATGCCCCATCAACCCTCAGATGTCTTCAGCTTTTTACATTTTCACTTTAGCAATTCTCAAAGAAGAGGAAAAATGAAAGTACCCTTATCCAAATAGGCCACTTATCACAGTTTGTTCATGCCACGAATACTGTCAAATTCACCAGAAACCTGCAGAGAATTCAGCAACACAAGATGGATTCCTTGTTGAAGCAACATGATATGTTATTCTATCTTCATGCTGACTTGGTTTAGCACTCTGGAATATGATTAGTGTTTTACAACATCTGCCAATGAGCTCCTGCTTACTCCGGCTGTTAGACAGGTGCGTGTTGTTCTCTCTTTGACAGTTTTTATGCCTCCGACATCACGCTAGATGCAACAAAAAATTAAAGTTCCTCTTTGCTCACTTTCCTTTCCTTCTTTTTTCCATTTGCAATGTTTTTTCGCTGTCTTGTGTGTTACATTCCCAGTATGTGTCTCTGTTCTTGTCAGGTCTTAATTGTGGTCTGTTTATCAAGCTGCCAGGCCTTCAAGGAAAGTGAAATATTTATAGCACGCGCTCTCGCCTAATTGCAGCTGCTAAGGATGAAAGAAAGAGAACGTATTAGCATCCAAAATGGCTTACAGTGTGTGTAGGATGAGTGCCTTTATCTCCTAAAGCCTTCCCCCCTGACAACAGTTTTGCACACCAGAGAGTGGCTTCCTCATTAATGGAGGCTCTTGTGGAGAGGGTGAGCAGGACTGTGGTGTTTTTGTTTACCATTATGAAGAGTTCTGGAAGACCTCGTTTAAGTTTAGTGGTACATCTGTGACAGCCTCTCAGCGAGAATGAAGTTCACATCGAGCCAAACCAGCAGCAGCTGTCATCATAAAATTAAAGAGCGAGAAATTCCCACATTACCATAACAATTGAATTTTCTGGACCTCATTTTTTAAAGCAATATGTTCTCCCAATACAGCTTAGTTTAGACTTTTAATCAAACTGGTTTATTTGCGGAAATGAATGGGAATTGGTCAAGCATGATGGAAAAAGTAGTTTGTTATTATACTTACAGATTATATACAGCAATGTGTCAGTGCTGGATTAAAGTAACCATTCAACCAGAAATGAAAATTCGGTAACACTTTATTTCTTTAGTCCACTTTAGACATTCTATTAACAGTAAGTAACTTTGCAACTACATGTCAACTAGCAGTTAGTAGAGTATTAGTAGACTGTCTGCTTAATATCTTCTAACACTTCTTTGTCAACTTATTCTACTAACCCTAAACCTACCCTAACAGTCTACTCTGAGAGTTAGTAGACATGTAGTTGCAAATTAATGAGAATTAGTTGACATGTAGTTGACATGTAGTTACAAAGTTACTTGTAGTTATTAGAATGTCTAAAGTGGACTATCGAAATAAAGTGTAACCGAAAATTCTGTCATTTGCTTATGTGTCATTCCAAATGTTTTTGGTTTATTTCTTTTTTGGAACAGAAAGGTATATTTTTTAAAATGTGCAAGCTGCTATTTTACATAAAAGGAAAATCAAACAGACTGTTATGTACATGTTAAACATTTAAATATGGCACTTCAAGACTTTTCACCAGGTTCAACTAATGACATTTGACTGTGTTGATGCTAAACTTAATGCGGTTACTTCTTGATTTGCCATATATGAATTTACCTCTGTACAAATGAGCCAAATACAATTAAACTTCTAGGTATAAAGTATTCATAGCCATAGCCTAGTGGTTGACGTACATCAGGGGTATCCAACCCTGCTCCCGGATGACCTCTATCCTGCAGAGTTTAGCTCTAATCCTAATTAAACACAATTAATTGGTATGAATTAGGTGTGTGCCCGAAGCTGAATACCTTATTCGGAAAGGCACGGATAATGGCTTCAAAAACGAATAACGGATAACGAATAATTCTGCCCGAATATTCGGCTGAGGCTGGCCCAGTCTGGTGTTTGCTATAGATAACAGGTGAGCCAGGGGAACAGCGCGATATTTTACACAAACCTCTAAATTCACGCAATAATGAGTGTGTGAAGTGAATGAATGTAAACTTTATGAATGAAAAGAGCGCAAATCAGACACAGCATTGCTGTTTCCACTTCGTGCATCTCTCAGAAATCAGAGCTTGGCAAGAGTAATATTACCTAAAATAATACTTCATACACGTTCTACTATTTGTGTATATATAAAAGGCAATGATTTAAACCTTACAGGCTACGATATGATACACGAATGAATAAGCACAGCGCGATCGTCAATCAAACAGCCATGTTGCCGTCTCTGCGCATCTGTTTCTCAAAAACCAAACCATCTCTCTGTCAAGAGTAGGCTAATAATCAACTTAAATACAGATACACTTTCTACTAGGCCTACATGTTTGCTTCCTTATCTTTTGCTGGTTTGCGTGGCACACGCACATTTGTTTAGTGAAGTTAAAAAAAAAGACTCGTTTAAAAAGTTCTGCATAATGAAAATGTGCGCCTTGAATTCATTCAGTCGTGTTCAAATGATCACTAAAAGTTTGTCATGAAATCTTCCTACTTGTATGAGAAATGTATTTTTAGAAATTAATTAATTTTATATTTTAGAACACTGAATAGGGCAAATAGTCGAAACACAAATATTTTTCCATACTCTGTTCTCTTTTCCCCAATAGGTTTTCCAGATCTGCAAATTACTTCAGTGAAATACTTTTTCAAACTGCGCAGGAACCGGTGAGCCAAAGGAAATCTTGTTGTTTTACATAAACCTCTAAAATTACAACCCAGTAACAAGTGTGTGAAGTAGCTAAATTAAATAAGTGCAAATAAAATAGCAGTGTTGCAGTTGCCTTTGTCCATGCATTTCCTGGAAATGACTTAAATCAATTTCCATATTTCTAAACTGCGTAGGAACCCTTAATGTTTTAATTTAGATATTTAAATAATTATTTATCGGATCATGAAAGGTCTCCAAGCTGGGACTTGAACTCACGTTGCTCAAAGCACAACCGCCTAACTCTTGAAGCACTGCCTATACAAGGAAATCAGCTCCGACTGTTAGAAGATATGTAAATAAATGTTATAATCATAAAAAAATATATATATATTTTAGTTAAACACTGCATATTTGTTCAGTGATAACTAGGAAAAAAAGATAGGCTGTCTTATCATATATAACTGTACGAAGTTCTGGTTCAGTCTCCGCCTATACTTCCGGTTTTATCCGAATACAGATACAGATACGAATAATTTTGTGATTGATACAGATACAAATACAGATACAAACACCGGCTTCACTGCACACCCCTAGTATGAATGCATTTGTTACACTTAAATATTTTGTTTAATGCAAAACTAGAGTGGGCCCAATCCTAATACTTGAGGAACACCAGTAGCTAAAAAACACGCCCTATAAGATAGACCACTGCAGATAGACCATTATCCTGCAGAGTTTAGCTCTAATTCTAATTAAACACACCTGAACTAACTAGAAACATCCAAGCAAGTGTGTTGGGGCAGGTTGGAGATACACTCTGCAGGACATTGGCCACATGTTGAGCTATGAAGCTCATGCAAGAGATGCAGGTTTAGATCCGATCTGCCTCGTCCCTCATCACTCCCACTATATATATATATATATATTTGTTCTTTCTGCTGTCTGTTGAAGTGGAACAATGGCCAAAAATTAACATTTAAAAAGTTCAAAGTAGACCATTGCATAAACCCAAGCAAGAAACCTGCTCAATATGACCAGATAAACATATCAGTCTGTTTGAGACACTGCTTGAAGTGCGAATCGACAGGAGCTCTCAAACTCAACAGGATTTGAAGGCTTTTCTCGGCTGAATTGTGAAATCTTTGGGCCCCTCCATCTGTCGCCTGGCAACGGTCTATGATTGGCAGACGATATATACAGCTGACATCTGCTGTGTCTGTGCTGTGGGTGGAGTTACGAGCCATAAGGAGCTCCATTACACATGATGAACATTCAGCGAGAGCCAGCATCACCTCTTTCCTGACACCTCTCTCTCCGCTCAGTACGCCGAGAGTGTGAACATACTGCATGGATGGATCTCTCTCTCACACACACTAGCAGAAGTGCCTTTCTCAACCACAGAAACTCACATTGTGCCAAATACTCAATGCCCATTTTTTGCACTTGTGTTCCAAAAACTCAAAATGGTTCATTTTCCGCTTTATTCAGAAGCACAAAGGCGGTCACAAAGCCCTCAATTTCATAGTCCATTTCTGTCGTAACCTCCCTTTTTGACCTCCCAACACTGCACTTTCTTATCCAATGAAGCTTTTTCTAGCTTCTTTTATATTATACACTATTCAAGGTTGAAGTCTTGAACCATGAATTCAGAAATGACCTATTTAATTGACCTGTAACATTCTTTACTGTGAACAATTACTCAAAAGAATTAAAAATTTTGCCTTTATAATATTTTGTTATAATGTAATAATTAACCCTTTAGGCGCCAGGGATTTTTGGGAAAATGCTGGATTTTGACATCAAGATTTCAAAAGCTTGTGGCTTGAAAGGGCTTAAAGATAGAGATCTACTGTAAATTAGAAAATTATTTAATTTCGGTAAATACTTTTTGATCAGTTCATCAGTAATATTCAGGAAATAATAGATATTGAATTGATGTTTGAACTTATTTGCATGTTTTTTTTTTGTCTTTTTATCCTCATTCCAAATGATCAGAAAAGAGGAAACCAACAATAAAACAGGAGAAAGTACTAAATTATTACTATATTACTTTACTATATAGTAGTAAAACGCATGTGAACAGTAGCCTACTTTTTGATTAGTTCATCAGTAATATTCAGGAAATAATAGATATTGCCCTGCCACCCCCATCCCTGTTGGGCAAAGGGTCGAAATGATCACTTGTTTGTGCTTCGTGAACACTCTCGCCTTGCACGGCGGCACCATTGCGCTGCAAAGATGTACCGGGAGAAGCGCGATTATTAGATGACCGATCGTCATTTCCAAAAGGCAAATATTCCCCTTCAGAGTCAGAATCGGCGAATAACATTTGCACCACATCCTCACGGTACAACTTTTTATTAGCCATTTGGCGATTTTCTCTTACAAATCTCACAATTTACTCACACGCTATGAACTGAACTGCTTCCGCATCAATGACACGATAGCTCACTTTCCTCGAACACTTTGAATAGGAACGTGACGTAATTTTAGTCTAGAATCGAAGTACTACATGTCTGCCATCTAGTGGTAGGGAATACAAATGAGATATTACACCATATTAGGAACTACAGTCTATTTTATTAAGTATGACGTCTTGTCGCAATTTTGCGACTTTGGCGCTTAGAGGGTTAAAACTGCTTTCATTTTTGGGTGAAACCACAGATCACTCTTGTTTTTCAAACCCTTCCTTCAAACCACCTAGGCTGAGACCACTTTTCACAAGTCCTGGCCAATTTTTTCTTTCTTTTCACTGCTGAGTATTCGTTTCTTTCGGAAATGCCACATTACGGAAGTGGACTGGGTCTTGAGAGCCATTTCATGCTGATTTTAAACCTGCTGTTCAGGACCTGTAACACATTATGGAATCATCTTTGCTCTTATGTCTTGACCTGGGCTTTGTTTTGCAATTAGAGGTAGATTTCCTGTCTCTAATCACCTTCTGTGATGTGCTAATTAGACTCTTAATGCACTTCTCTTGCTTGCTCAGTGGATTGGGAGGGCAGACAACCGTGGCGTCCCCAGAGCACTGTCTGACCAATTCAAATTACACGCTAGTGCTGTCTAAAGGGATAAGGCTGGAAAAACAAAGACATTTTTTTTCCCAGATGGCTTCAGATCCTGCATTTGAGCCTTTGCTTTCAGTCTCAGTTGACAAACATTGATGTGTACTTGTCACCTTTCAGGTTGTCACTTCTCCGTGATACTTATTAATTTTCAAATAGGTGCTTACAATCTTCTCTTATTGCACACATTCATCAAGCCAACACTTGGGCTGACTACCAGACCATAATTGGGCATTGGTCACCAAATTATGGACTTGTAGGAGGGTGTCAACAAATCCTGTAATTCTGAAGTCTTGTGTGTCTCTTGTGCGTGTTTCTTTCTCTCTGTGTGTGTGTGCTTCCTCATAGTATAGAGTATATACATTTTACGTGTATATACGACACATGCTGTGCATTTTCGTGTTGTACCACTTCCAATCTCTGTCCTTCTTGGCTGCAAGCCACTTCCCGCAGTGTGTTGGCGTCATGGCCACTGCATGTAGCCGTGCCCCAAACACACTGATCTAGAGTCACCTTTGGAGTAGATGCACCCGAGCTCACGCATAGAATCGGATTTTCAGTTCGAAACGCCTCGACACACAACTCAACTGTCTCTTGTACACAAATACCTGCTCGTGTAGAGCATTCTGTAGCACATGTGGTTCCTTTAGTTGAACATGCGCAAAACACACACACTCACACATTGACGCTTTCTCTTTCTTCAGGTATGAATGCTCTGCAGTTGCAGAATCTGGCCACTCTAGCAGCAGCAGCGGCTGCAGCACAGAGCTCAGCCAGCCCGTCCACCGCTAGCGCCCTGACCTCCAGCACAGGGTCCCTGGGAGCCCTGGCCAGCCCAGGTAACCAGAGGCCGTCCCATCATCATCATTATCATCTTCGATATCGGTATCATTTCCACCATAGCGTCGTTGTCCGTTCATCTGTTGTAGTCGAGTTCCCCATTCTCTTTGATGTTTGAATGTCCTGCATCGTAATTCTTAAGTTTTCATGTCGTGTTTATATGTGTGTGTTTGTTTGCGTAATTCCTTGATAACGTCCATCATGGTTTACGTTCATCATCATCATCATCATGTTTGGGAGACTGTGTTCATATGTGTGGCGTTACGCTGTTGTGCTCTTTGGCTTTAACCGTGCTCCATTCATTTTGGAAAAGATGAAATGTGAAACTAGCAGACACTTATAAGTGTGACACATGGTTCTCCAGTTAGATTAGCATCTTTGTGTCTTGCTTTGAAACTCGAACATTTCTTTCAAACTGCAAAAATGCAAATGAAGCAGAGGGAAAATGTATATGCTTCAGAATTCTTTTGTTTCGAGAGATGTTTTGTTTGTTTTTTATTGCTCTTTTCTGAAAACATTGTCGTCATGATTGCAATAATCTTTATAGTTGTTGATGTCTCTATCTTGTCTTTTTTTCTGCAATTTTAACCAGTTCCCTTTAGGAATGAATAAAGAATTAATTAATATATCTATCCATCTGACCATCCATCCACCTTATCCGCTTTATTAGGACTGCATCATATAGCAAAAAAAAATTACAATTTCTAGTTCTTTGATGATATTCAGTGTCATAATAGGGTGATTTTTTTTACAGAAAAATACCCGTAGTAATGTATAAATCTGAATTAATACTGAATGCAAAAGAAAAAAAATACATTAAAATAATTTATAATCAATGCATGTTTTTTTTCTCACACGTTCCACAAAGAAAAATCACATTTATTATTTTTTTTTTTTTTTTCATTTGCATGCACCAGTATGAAACAATACACAGTAAGAAACAGAAATCACAGGCACTATTTAAAAAAATATATCTTGATGCACAAGTTACAGGACAAGGATGGATTGCAAAATTAGTCTAATGAGACCCTCTTTAGAAAACTTAATGGCCTAATAAATTGCGCAATAAAATCAATGCGATATTCACAACATAACTTCATGTTACACTGCCATCAAAGTCACCCAACCCTACAATCTATCAGTGAATCAATCTTCCACCCATGCATCCTTCCCTCTGTGTACCTCCACCGAAGCTTTTATGTATGTAACTTTAACCATTTCAGTATCATCTGCAAATGTATGTGTATGTTCAAACATCTCTCTTTTTTCTCTCTTCCATTTCTCCACCTGTCTCTCCTTCCTGCTCTGTCTGTCTTTCCCCACAGCAGGTTCCACAGCTAACTCCACCATGGGTGCGATGGGTTCCCTGGGTTCTCTGGGGACACTGCAGGGTCTGGCCGGGGCCACCGTGGGCCTCAATAACATAAATGCACTAGCAGGTAGCGTCAACAGTGAGTACTACCGTCCATCGGCCTCTCCATCCCAATCCATACAACATCACCTCATACCAGCCCCTCACTGCTCATAGAGATGCCCGCTATCTCCCAAACACATACATAGTGAATGTTTTTCAGTCGATTTACTTTAAACAGCATCCAAAGCGAGGGCATCTCTCTGGGCTTCAGCGAGAGTTTGTTGCGAGAATTTCTCACATTTAGTCCTGCTGATATATTTAAACTGTGTCTATGCCTCATTATTAAATCAGATCAAATCCATTTGCTAAGTCAAAACAAATGTAGCTTATCTCTTGTAGTCGTGAGTGTGTTTGCACCAATCACACACATCTCCACACATTCAGACATGCTAACACACTGCTAAACCATTGCTCTGGGTGTTTCTATAGACGTGCACTTGTTTTGTCACTATTGTGTGTGTGTGTGTGTGTGTGTGTGTGTGTTGTGTATATGTCTCTGTTTTATCTTGGGGTTTGAATGATTTAAGACTAATCTAGTGCTGTCAAAAGATTAATTGCGATTAATCGCATCCAAAATAAACGCTTTTGTTTACATAATATATGTGTGTATACTGTGTACGTTAATTATGTATATATAAATACAAACACATGCATGTATATATTTAAGAAAAATGTGTTATGTTTATATATTAAATATATTTATATATAATATAAGAATATAAATATATAAATGTATATACATGTAAATGTTTTCAAAATATATACTGTATGTGTGTGTATTTATATATATACATAATAAATATACACAGTACACATACATATATTATGTAAAAAAAACTTTTATTTGGGATGCGATTAATCGCGATTAATTGTTTGACAGCACTAGACTAGACCTATCCGTGAAGAGGTAGTAGATGCTATCTGACATGTAATAATAATAATTAAAAAACAAACAAACTGTGGAACACAAAAGAAAATGCTTTAAAAACGGTCACAGTGTTTGTTATTGTTTTCATCAGTGAAGTCCAATGTTGCTTTGGTCCAGTTGACTTTTATTTTGTAAGGACAAAAATGGATGAAGAACATATTCTTTTGTGTTCTGCAGAAGACAGGTGTCATACAGGTGTAGAAGCGCATAAATGATGACAGAATAGTCATTTTTAAGGGGTAGTTTAACCAAAAATTGACATTTTGTCACTAATTAATCTCCCTCGTGTCATTCTAAACCCATAAGGCTTTTGTTCTTCTATGTATTTTTAATGAAACCTGATAGATTTTTGTCCTTTTATCGACAGTCCATTCCAGCAAAACATTGGCGCTTTATAACTACATAGAGTAATACAAATGAATCAAATTTAATCCAAGTCCTTTGAAGACACGTGATTTTATTTAATAAACAGATTTATTTAAGCTTTTATTCACATATGAACATTGATCAACGGACATATGAACAACACATCAAATATAGTATACGGAAGACAAACTGTAATTGTTTGCAGTGTTAGGAAGGTTACTTTGGAAATGTAATAGGTTACAGATTACAAGTTAGCCTATTCAAAATGTAATAAGTAGTGTAACTATTTCAATTACTTTATTAAAGTAGTGTACTTTCGGATTACTTTTCTAAATGTATAACTCATGTTTTTAACTGTTAATCATTCTAAAACATTTAAACCAGGTGGGGTTAATCCACACTAGTTCTCAACACTGCTTACCGTCAGACTTTCAAAATCCTTATAATAATTTAAGTTTAAAGCCTTCACAAAAGCAGGCATTAGCACTTTTTACTTTTACTTTGAGATCGTTCTGAGGTTAAACAGATTTTAAATCATAAAAAGATAGTTTAATAGCTATGATACTGTTTTTAAATCAAATGTTTGCATAGCTATGGCGGGAAACACTGGCATTTAACAATGCCTTGGGGGAAAAAAAACAGTTAATCTTAAAAAATAAAGCATATACGTAAACTGAAATAGAAAATAAAACAGTTATCGAATAAGCATGTGCCCTATTCTGTGTCCTAAACTCCTGAAACATTGATGTCTTCGTATTTTAGAGAAAGGTCAATGCTATTTGAGAAATAAATGAATAAAATCTGTATGTGTGTGTGTGAAAATATTCAGATGTAACCCCACTTTGTAATGGTTAACATTTTTAAAAGTAACTGTAATTTACATCACACATTTTTTCTCAGTAACTGTAACTGATTACAGTTACATATATTTTGTACATGTCGTTTCATGTAACTAATTACTCCCAAACACTGATTGTTTGACATAGAAGAACAAACCTCACTGTTTATGAGTTGTGCTGGAATGGACTTTCAATGGAAGGACGGAAATCTCTCAGGTCCTATAAAAAAATCATTTGTTTCGACAATAAACAAAAGTTGTATGTGTTTGAAACAACAATCTCTCAGGGTTAATAGTTGAATAGTGGCTTCTGTGGGTGTTGTGACTTACGCCAGTAGCTTGTAAACAGATGTTTTGCATTTAGTTGTTACCACATTGTGTATTTTAGCACGACTGCAATGCTGTATTGACAAATCAGCATTCAAGACCAGAACTACTAATCTTATAATAAAATGTACCCGTGTAATTAGTATGAATAGACGAGCTAAAGATCACCGCGGCCTGTGCATGTGTATATGTCAGTGTGTCGGCACGCAGACAAAATCTCTATCTCCACCAGTGACCTTTCTGCCAGGTTTCTGGTTTTATAAATCAAGCTCTCTCTAACAGAGTTTCCAGGCCGTCAAGCCAAAAGGCCAGTCAGTAAATACTCATGAATCGGTCTTTATAAACACACACACACACACACACACACACGGACTAAAATATATTCTGCACACAGTACACAACTGCTTCTACGGTAGCACGATTTAATGTGTTGTTTTACATTATGAATATGAGTTGCCACAAGGGATTCTCTAGTTTAAGTGTCCTTTTTCAGTTCTTTATTTCTGCCATAGCTAGAAAAAATATATATTTTATTCTATTACTCTATACTGTAATAATGTATCTGATGCATTATATAGACCATCATTTGCACAAGGAGAGTTTTTGAACAAGATGAGGAACATCCAGTTTATCAGTTTAAGAAATAATTAACAGATTATTTGATAATCAAAATTAAAAACTACAATCCATTTAATGACACAAGGATTTGAACTCTATCGCCCCCCCATTAAGTACTGATATTTGTTATCACTAAAAGTAAAGGCAGTGTATATGAAATCAATAATGATAACATTCAATAATTATATTTAAAGAAATTGATTATCTCTCTATCTATCTATCTATCTATCTATCTATTAATTATAGTTATATAATTTATATTTATATACAGCAGGGATGCATTAAATTGATTAAAAAAGACAATTATATATGGAATAACTTCCATGAAGTTATTATGTAAATTTCCTACTGTAAATATATCAAAACTTCATTTTTGATTAGTAATATGCATTGCTAAGGGCTTCATTTGGACAGATTTAAAGGTAATTTTCTCCAAATTTATATATATTTTTTGCACCCTCAGATTCCAGAATAGTTCCAGGCCAAATATTGTCCTATCATAACATACATCAATGGAAAGCTTATTTATTCAGCTTTCAGATGATGTACAAATCTCAATTTTGATTAATTGGCCCTTATTACTGATTTTGTGATCCAGGTTAATATATAACTGTTAATATATACAGGGCCTAAAACTAACTTTTTGCCACACCTGCCAATGGCCGGTGACATGATAAAATTTACCGGCCAAATTTTTGGCCTAAAATTATAGGGCCTAAAATTAACACTCGCCAAGCGCCAAATGCGAGTAAAAATCAGCATTGGCGAGTATATGTAACGGTGTCAGTCGCCAGTTGGCGGGTACAACTTTTACGAATTATAACAATGCAATGAAGTAAAAACAACAGCCAGTTTTTAAAGAGATTAGCTGTTTCTGACATAAGCGAATAAAATAATCTTTTCTGAAGACAAGATCATCATGATTAGCTGTTCTGTCATAAGCGACAAGAGCGAATCAAATAATAGCCTTTTGGCGAGTTACCTTGTAAACGTAGTCTTAAATGAGTTATAAAATTATTAAGTTATAAAGTCTTAAATGACTGTAAAGAGTTGGGAGAAAATCGGATGTGTGTCAGATCCGCGTCATATGCTTCAGGTTTTTAAAGAGACAGCGCTGATTTTAAAGTGAAACCTGCTGAATCATGGAACATGATCTTTACTTAATATCCTAATGATTTATGGCATAAAAGAAAAATAGATAATTTTGTCCCATACATTGTATTTTTGGCTATTGCTACAAATATACCCATGCTACTTATGACTGGCTTTGTGGATATATATATATATATATATATATATATGATCCTTTGGAACTTATTCTAATATGCCAATTTTGTGCTAAAGAAAAATAAATACCTTTGTAAGCAAATAAATACCTTTGTAAGCAAAGCAGACTTGTTCAAAACCTTTTAAACCTTATTCTTAACAAACAGTAATTTGTGTGTGTGTGTGTGTGTGTGTGTGTGTACATATATATTCCCATAGACTGCGCTTATGCCGCTCATATGTTTACAGGAGTTACTCACTGAAGCACATGTGCATCTGTTTTAGCAGTCAGGGGTTCTGCTTTTAATGGATCCAAGGATGCATTTGTATTTTATTAAAAGAGTTTAATGTTTTCCCCACAACCCCTTTAATACAGCCAAGATTGCTGACGCGAATAATGAGATAATTAGATGTAGGGGCTGATTTTAAAGTGAAACCTGCTGAAGTCTGTCATTGATGTAAATCAAAGAACAAAAGAAAAAGAGAAATCCTTAGACTGTTCTAGTCGCTGATTAACTTTTATAGCTTGAATAAAGATTAATATGTATAGTTTATGCATATATAATATAGTTTATGTGAAGATTGTTTTAAAATCACTTAAATTAAAAGTTGTTATATATTTCATTAAATGTTAAAAATAATGGCTTTCAATTATACTGTAATTATACTGTAAAGGGAAAATGCACCAGCAGGACAAATAAAAAATATTGTAAAAATATTTAGTCATTGTAGTAGTAATAACTGCCTGTTTTTGCAAAAAGAGTTTCATGGCCGGTAAAATAAAATTTTGGCCGGTAAATTTTATCATGTCACCGGCCATTGGCAGGTGTGGCAAAAAGTTAGTTTTAGGCCCTGTATATATATATATATATATATGTTTAGTTATATATTAACCTGGATCACAAAATCAGTCATAAGGGCCGATTTCTCAAAATTGAGATTTGTACATCATCTGAAAGCTGAATAAATAAGCTTTCCATTGATGTATGTTATGATAAGACAATATTTGGCCGACATACAACTATTCTGGAATCTGAGGGTGCAAAAAAAAAATCTAAATATTGAGAAAATTACCTATAAATCTGTCCAAATGAAGCCCTTAGCAATGCATATTACTAATCAAAAATGAAGTTTTGATATATTTACAGTAGGAAATTGACATAATATCTTCATGGAACATGATCTTTACTTAATATCCTAATGATTTATGGCATAAAAGAAAAATAGATAATTTTGTCCCATACATTGTATTTTTGGCTATTGCTACAAATATACCCGTGCTACTTATGACTGGCTTTGTGGATATATATATATATATATATATATATATGATCCTTTGGAACTTATTCTAATATGCCAATTTTGTGCTAAAGAAAAATAAATACCTTTGTAAGCAAATAAATACCTTTGTAAGCAAAGCAGACTTGTTCAAAACCTTTTAAACCTTATTCTTAACAAACAGTAATTTGTGTGTGTGTGTGTGTGTGTGTACATATATATTCCCATAGACTGCGCTTATGCCGCTCATATGTTTACAGGAGTTACTCACTGAAGCACATGTGCATCTGTTTTAGCAGTCAGGGGTTCTGCTTTTAATGGATCCAAGGATGCATTTGTATTTTATTAAAAGAGTTTAATGTTTTCCCCATAACCCCTTTAATACAGCCAAGATTGCTGACGCGAATAATGAGATAATTAGATGTAGATTTCCGCTGTGTGAGGTTAAAAAGGTGATTGGTCAGATGTTTCTGTGTGTCTGAGGGTCGCCGTGGTGATCGTTTCATGCTGCTATTGTGACATTAGTCTGCATGTGTAGGCCGCGCTCCTCATTTGCATATGCCGGTCAGTATATTATGTATCTTCTCTATCTTGTGTTTGTGTGTATATGTGTGTGAGTGGGTGCTGTTTATGATGTAATGTCCAGCGTGACGTTTGTGATTCTTCTGTTTGGAAGAGTGTTACGTTCACTGTTCACGTGTGTCGTTGGGTTTTTCATGTTCTGTCTGTTTTTGTGTGTGTCATGTTGTGCTTTGTTGTAGAAACACACCCTGAGTCCAAATGCTAACGAGTAAGAGCACTTCTTTTTTCTTTATTGTTGGGTTTTATGTAAAGTTGCTCACATGCTCTCAGGTATGGCAGCTCTGAATGGCGGGCTGGGCAGCACGGGCCTGAGTAACGGGTCGGCCGGACCCATGGATGCTCTCACACAGGCCTACTCAGGGATCCAACAGTACGCGGCTGCCGCCCTGCCCACCCTCTACAGCCAGTCCCTACTGCAGCAACAGAGCGCTGCGGGCAGCCAGAAAGAGGGTATGGACACACACACACTGGACATTGCTTACAATGGAAGTGAGAAATCTAGTTCAACTAGATTAACTACATTAAACTAGATCTAGAACTAGATTAAATTAGATTAAATATAGTTCAACTTCATTTAAGTAGCACAGCAAATATGGAAGTACATCAATAACGAAAGTTGGGGGGGGGGAGTTTGCATTTTTGAGGCCACTATGTAACATGGTTGAATATTTATCTAGGGTCCTTAACTATTATCTACTTACATTTAAATTAATAATTTAGTAGAATTCACGTATTGTGTACATGTAATAAATTGTACTTATATTTTAAAAATACCTGCATGTAATTGCATCTGTAATACATTTCTGCAATCACATTTATAATTACACTGTTGACCCATCCCTTACACCTTAACCCTTTCACTGGTGAGTTTAAAATATTCTAGCTGTCCCCCCAGAGTGAGTTTTTTTAGGCGACCTTTATTTTAGAACTTTTCCCCTTATTGTTTCTATGGTGACGCTTCATGCTTGTCACGTGACACACCGCGGCCACAATAACACTGTGTGACGTATGGATCGCTTTTATTTAATTTTTAGTTTTTGATTCAAAATATTCATAAACTTGCTTACCATATCATCAACTATCTGATATTCTGATTCACAAATATGTGTAAATGAGTGTGTTTTGTCATTTAAAAACCGTTCTAAATGAGCTTGATCGTGATCTGTAACGTGAGATGGGCACAGCCACGTTTGTTCGCGCTGCAGTTACAAGAGTCCTGTCAGTTGGATTTACCGCATGTAAATTAATCAATTTCTCCCGAAATACATGTAAGTAAGTGGCCGGTGAACTGGGAGAAGAATAGAGTGAACTTTATTGTTACTTACACTGTGTGTATCTGATATTAATAAAACACGGTGGCAAATTATATTTGAATGGATTGTTATTGCTGCTTCCATGAACATCCGTGTGTATTTTACGAACTCTAAATGTATTGTTTTACTAGTACTTATGTGTATTTAAATGTCTGTAACCTAAAATAAACATTATGTGGTTAAAACCACTGCATAGTTGTGATTATATGACAAGTGCAGCGGCGTCTCAGCGCCAGATAAAGCTCGAAAGCACAGTTTGAATTTGGCAGTTATGTGACGTCACCGAACATTCTAAATCCCATATGTGGGACCGTACTCCCAGGGGCACGGAAATAAAACTCCCATATGTGGGACCGTACCACTTAAACCTACCCATACCACCAAACCTGTCCCTAACCTTACCAGTATCCCACCTCAATAACAGTAAAAGTGTTTTGCAATACAGTATGAACACAGTAAGTACATTGCACTTTTTTTTTTTTTTAAATGCAGCTTCACTAATTTTGTGAAACTTTTGTCATTAACATACATCCATAACCAAATCAGTGTCAGTCAACATTCACTACCATTTAAACGTTTAAAATACTGATGTGTATTTTATATATACTATATATTACTACATAATATCTTTATTTAAAAAACCTTGACCCTGTAACACTTGCACTCTCTATTCTTTCTATTCTAACTACTTGTTTTCTTTTTATTTATTATAAAAAATGACCCTCTAACACTAGGGTTCTCTATTCTTTTTCTATTCTTTTGACTTTTATTTTTATTTTTTTTTTAAATAATAATTGACCCTCTATCACTAGCGTTCCCTTTCAGTCGGTGACTCTCGACGTCACGTCGGTGACCGATGAATTGGGATCTCGCTTCGAGAGACCAATCTACTTCGAGTATAAACTAAACGAGCCAATGGACATTGGCATGCGATAATTGCATCCAGCTGCCGCTGATCACAGCGTGAGCATAAAAAGGCAGCCAATGCAACGCATACCAGCTTTTCGCTTTAGAGCCGAGCGATAACATTGTTCTGCTCCTGCCAATATCTTCGTGTGTGACGACGAGTTCAGCGCGCTCAAGGGAGCTTTCTGTGTTGGCATACGGTCGATCCTTCTGAGCCACAGACCATTTCTGCGGTTCGCTTTCGAGGGACGTGCATATCAGTACAAGGTTTTGCCCTTCGGGCTGTCCCTGTCTCCCCATGTCTTCACGGAAGTCGCGGAGGGGGCTCTTGTTCCCCTCAGAGAGCAGGGTGTTCGTATCCTCAACTATCTCGCCAATTGGCTTATACTAGCTCAGTCTCAGGTTCAGTTGTGCGAACACAGGGACTTGGTGCTCCGGCACCTCAGCCAGTTGGGTCTTCGGGTCAACTGGGAAAAGAGGAAACTCTCCCCGGTGCAGAGGATCTCTTTTCTCGGTTTGGAGTTGGATTCGGTCGAAAAGACAGCACGCCTCACAGAGGAACATGCGCGGTCGGTGCTGAACTGCTAGAATTCATTCAAGGGCAGGACAGCGGTCCCACTGAAACAATTTCAGAGGCTCCTGGGGCATATGGCAGCTGCAGCGGCAGTTACACCGCTGGGGCTGCTTCATATGAGACCACTTCAGCACTGGCTTCATGGCCGAGTCCCGAGGCAGCGAGGCACCCGGCAGCGCGGCACTCACCGGGTCCCAGTTACACCGGCCTGTCGCCAAACCTTCACCCCGTGGTCAGACCTTGCATTTCTCCGGCCAGGAGTGCCCCTAGAACAGGTATCTGGGCATGCTGTGGTTTACACGGATGCCTCCACCACCGGCTGGGGGGACACGTACAACGGGCACGTAGTTTCGGGGGTGTGGACGGGCCCCCAACTGCACTGGCATATCAATTTCCTAGAGTTGTTAGCGGTGCGCCTTGCCTTGAACCATCTCGAAGGGCTCATTACGAGGCAAGCACGTGCTAAACAAACACAATAAACACCGCACGTAAAAAACACACTGCAGGTCGCCACAGTGCAGCGCCCCGGAAGTGCCCCTTTGGTCCGAATGGATAACACGGCGACCGTTGTGTACATCAACCGACAAGGTGGTCTACGCTTTCGTCGCATGTCGCAACTCGCCCGCCACCTCCTCCTTTGGAGTCGGAAGGCTCTGAGGTCACTTCGTGCCAATCACATTCCGGGTCTGCTCAACCGTACGGCCGACGAGCTGTCACGAGCTATGCTCCTGGGAGAATGGAGACTCCATCCCCAGACGGTCCAGCTGATTTGGAGACGTTTCGGAGCCGCTCAGG